TGTTCTCTAACTTAAGTTTGCCTCAACCAAATGTTATGAAACTTATACACAATGCTTATTACCACAAAACACAGATCAAGTTTGTATTTTGGTGGCGTCACTTTAACCGTTCTAGAGTTATGCCCCTTTATAAATGGAAAAATTGCAAAATTTTTATTTTCTTCTAAATATCAAGTAATTTTTAAATTTGGAGTTATCTTCCTTTGTCCATGATTATAGTTGAGTCAACTACAATCAATGCTTTATACAACGCAATGTTTAATTTTTACTTCCACTGATTAAACACAGATCAAGTTGAATTTGGGTAGTGTCACTTTAACCATTATTGAGCAATGCCCCTTTATAAATCGAAAGATTGCAAAATTTTTAGTTTCCATTCTGTAACTTAAGTTTGCCCCAACCAAACATTATGAAACCTATACACAATATTCATTACCACAAAACTAAGATCAAGTACAATTTTTTTGTTTCCGTTTTCTTACTTTAGTTTGCCTCAACCAAATGTTATGAAACTTATACACAATGCTTATTACTACATAAAACAGATTAAGTATGAAATTTGGTGGCGACACTTTTACCATTCTTGAGTTATGTCCCTTTATAAACATAAAAATTGCCGAATTTTTCGTTTCTGTTCTCTAACTTTAGTTTGTCTCAACCAAATGTTATAAAACTTATACACAACGGTTTTAGAGTTATGCGTGTTTACAAATAGAAAAATTGCTGAATTTTTAGTTTCTGTTCTCTACTTTAGTTAGCCTCAACCATATGTTATGAGACTTACACACAATGCTTATAACAACAAAACTCAGATCAAGTTCAAATTTGGGTAGCGTCACTTTTTCCGTTCTTCAGTTATGTCCCTTTATAACTATATGATATGCAAGCGGGGGCATCATCTGTGTCCACATGTGGACACTATCCACATTTATTTAATATAGGTGGCATTTTTTTCTTTTCTAGTTAAACATACTGGATAATGATCACTTATTGAGAATTAAGCAACGTGTGATTCTAGTATTAAATCCTTATTGGTGACATAAACATGATCAATTAGTGTACTAGAATCAGGTGTAACTCTTGTTGCTTCTTGGATTATCTGGTTGAGATTATAGGTTTCTAATAAATTTAGCCATTTTTGTGTTGTTTATTAAGTTTCAAAAAATTTATACTAAAATCACCAACTAAAATAATATCTGAATTATGATTGATGGCAGTTGTTATTTCTTTTTCAAATTCATCAATCCAATTAATTAATGAACTAGGAGGTCTGTATACTGAACATAATAAAAATGATTTTTTGTGAACCGGTTTAATTTCAAACCACATTGTTTCAATGTCACTTATTTCAAATTCAGCTTTTCTATTAAATGTAACTTTTTCTGAAAAATAAGCAACCAGACCACCTCCACCCTGTGATATTCTATCTTTTTGGTTTAAAATAAATTCAGGAATTTGTATAAAATTATCCTGGGTTTTCCTGTCCAAAAATGTTTCACAACAACAGTATATATCTGGAGGATTTTCGGAGAACATTAAATTGTATTTGATTTCATCTAACTTTTTTTCAAGTCTGTTGACATTATGTTAATATATTTTTACCCTTCGTTGAAGAAAAGTCATAAACATTATCCTTTCCTTTAGATACTTCTTGTAGATGAGTTAATTCATAACAATTATTTAGTAAGGCAAATAAACATGCTGTAACTAATACACTTAATCCAATGGAAAAACAAAGCTTAAAATCAACAGGTGATAAGGCCTCAGGGGGATTGCATAAAACATTTGTTTCAGTACATTGCAAATTAATTACCTCATCAATAGATTCATAAGTACCATAATATTACTAGCATGACAAATGAAAAAGTTCTGGCCAGAACAAGCTTGTATACGAGAAGAATTAGAACACCAATAACAACAACGAGAAGAATTCACAGTATAAAACAAAAGTTCTTCCTTTGATGAAGGGGAGACATAATAACGATAGTGGCGAGTTTTTGTTGTTGTTGATTACATATAAAGCTAGCCTAGCGCCTGTGGGTTGAGGTGACCAAATTTTTGTGCGGACCTTCTATTACTTGTAGTTGCTTTGATCTGGACCTTAACACAAAATTCAACCAGAATCATTCATGCGTAAATATAGGCCCAGGTGACCAACTTTTTTCGAGATCCTTCATTACCATCAAAGATGTGCTCACTGAAAAGATATCATTCCACTCTGACTTTTATAGTTGCTTAGACTCTGTATCGTAATGCAAAACTTAACCAGAATTAATTATGTGTAAAATGTAGGTCGAGGTGATCAATTTTTTTCATGGACATTCGTTACTATCCAATATGTATGCACTAATAGAATATCATTCCTCTATAACTCGCTGTTTGTTTCGATCTAGACCTTATTGCAAAATTTAACCGTGACAGAAAGACAAACAAACAGACAAAACACTATATCCACTCCCAAACTTTGTTCGACTAAGGGATGATAAAGAGGTAAAAACTATGAATAAACACATTAAACTGGGTCTGGAAAAGGGTAAAATTTCCTAATGAAAGTTTATATTTTGATATGAGCATCAACTGTAACCAAAAATATACTTATCTGAAATTGTAAAATACGATGCTTTTATATATAATTAATTATTTATTATATCTTTTTGGCTAAGGCTGTTGCTCATATTTAGAAAAAAACCTGCTCTACGTGCTAAAAAAAGCTTGCAAAAGTTGGATACAAGTGATGTAAATTTATGATAAACATGGCATATATAAACGAGATGTCAGGTTTAGTGTTCAGTAAGAAATAAAGTTGAGGCATATAGTATAACAAAGTGCTATTTAATGTTTCATTATTATTGTCGAGCCTGCGACTTTTGTCACAAAAGTGAGACATACATGTAGCGATCCTACAGTCCGTCGTCGGCGGCGTCCACAAATATTCACTCTGTGGTTAAAGTTTTTGTAATTTTAACAACTTTCTTAAACTATCCTGGATTTCTACCAAACTTGAACAGAAGCTTGTTTAAGATCATAAGATAGTATCCAGAAGAAAATTTTGTAAAAAAAAAAATCCTGTTTATTCGTATTTTACTTATAAATGGACTTAGTTTTTCTGCCAGTTAACATTACATTCACTCTGTGGTTAAAGTTTTTAAAATTTTAATAACTTTCTTAAACTATCCTGGATTTGTACCAAACTTGGACAGAAGCTTGTTTATGATCAAAAGCTAGTATCTAGAAGGAAATTTTGTAAAAATATATTTCCTGTTTTTCCGTATATTACTTATAAATGGACTTAGTTTTTCTTCCAGTTAACATTACATACAGTCTGTAGTTAAAGTTTTTAAAACATTTATTAGATTCATAAACCATTCTGGATTTTTACCAAATTTGGACAGAAGCTTCTTACAATCAAAAGATAGTATCTATAAGAAAACTTTTAATAATTTTTTCCCCATTTTTGTTAAGCCTGTGACTAGCAGCAAAAGTGGGCCAGACACTGGGTTCCGTGGAACCCTTACAAATTTTTATTATTCATTATTTTACTTACTTTATGCCATGTGTAGTTAGGACAAACAGAACTATAATGTATGCAGCTCTTAGTTTCATTATTTACTCAGAATGAACTACCCCTAATTTGATAAAAATAATGTCTGTCCAAGTTTCAGACAATAGCAGGTGTTATTTTTTCTCTTATAAAGTTTTTTAATCAAATTGCCTAAATTACATGACTTCAAGAGCTGTCCTTTATTCATGTGGGGCATTATCAAATATGACCAGATTCTGCAATTTCAGATAAAATTTACGAGGTTTACCAAATTTGAACCACCATCATCACCATATTCAATCATCATCATCACTATCACTGATCATCATCTTCATCAACAAAACATGTATAATGTTGTAACCACTGCATATAAAGTTGTGACCACTGCATATAATGATGTGACAACTGCATATAATGTTCCGACAACTGCATATAATGTTGTGACAACTGCATATAATGTTCCGACAACTACATATACTGTTGTGACAACTGCATATAATGTTGTGATAACTGCATATAATGTTGTGACGACTGCATATATGTTGTGATGACTGTATATAATGTTGTGAACGCTGCCTATAATGTTGTGACCACTGCCTATAATATTGTGACCACTACATATGCTTTCACTACTGCATATAATGCTGTGACCAGTGCTTATAATGTTGTGACCACTGCATATAATGTTATAACCACTGCATATAATGTTGTGACAACTGCATATAATGTTTTAACCACTGCATATAATGTTGTGACAACTGCATATAATGTTCCGACAACTGCATATAATGTTGTGATGACTGCATATAATGTTGTGACAGCTGCGTATAATGTTGTGACCACTTCATATAATGTTGTCACCACTCAACATTAGGCAGTCATGGTGTTCCATACAAGCACAGGTTCTCTCTTTATTTAATAGTATTGAGCACAATTGTGGTCAAATCAAAACAGACTTTCGCTTGAGATTTGAGATACAGCAAAATTATTATCTATTTATCTATTATCTATAATCTATTATTTTTCGATTCCTTCATCAATTCATATTACCACAAACAAGGAAATAACACCTTTTAAAACAGTTGTCATGCAAAAGGCTACTAAAAACAACAAGAAGGTAGAGATGGTAGGAAATTAATACCCGGTACATAAATAAATAAAGCATTAATGTGATACTTCAATTCTCCCTGAAGTCTCCTTGTTGGGTCTTATAAGCTGCCAGGTAGAAGTCACTTCTCCCTACAATTGTTTATTATGGTGACTCCTGTAACTGATGTGGCTATTATTGATATGTTCATTTTATGGTATCAATTTTGTGTTGTTTGTCTGTAGACTATGGAGATTTAGGGTAGACATAAATGAGATGGAAATCCTAGCTGGTAATATTCAATGATTATAATAAATCTATACGTTAGCGTAGATGTTTAAAAGTTTGATAACCTTGCTTCTATATTTACAGGTATCTAATCACCTACTAAGACAAGGTGCCCCAGTAGAAGGAATGGAATTACAAGACAGAAAGAAACTATCATCTGATGTACAAATTTCTCAGTCAGCAGTGTTTGATAGAGAGAAAATCAAAGAAGCTCTTGCTAAAAGGTACATTCTATAGGTTAGACACTTGGAAAAAACACTACCTGTAAATGGTACCAATTTTGTCTTGCAGATGAAATTTGTATGACAGGGCTTCAGTACCTTTCTAATATAAATACATTTAAATAAAGAACTTTTTCGCCAGAGATATCCAGTCTTTGACAAAAAGTGGTGAGATTGACTGTACTTTGCATTGTGGGAAAATTTATTTTAGCTCACCTGTTACAAAAGGACATGTGAGCTTTCCCATCATTTAGGGTCCACTATCTGTCGTTTTCCGTGGTCTGTGTCGTCATCCATTAACTTTTACAAAAAATCTTTTCCTGAAGTTGCTTAGTAAAATTTAATTAAACTTAGCCATAATCATTATTGACTGGGGTATTTAGTTTAAAAAATGTGTTGAGAAAACAAACTGCCTGATCTACGTACAAAACAATAAACGTAAATAAATATGATATACAGCAACAAGCAACAACCAGTGGAGGACAGCACATCACAAGAACAATCTACAAATAATAAATATAACATACAGCAACAAAAGACAACTACTGAATTAAAGGCTCCTGACATAGGACAGGCACATATAGAATGTTGCATGGTTAAACATATTTGAGTATGCCTGACACTCTCCCTAACCTGGGACAATGTAAGAGCAAACTATAAAAATCAGTTGAAAAGGGCTTTCAAAAAATCATCAGATAGATACAAAGCACAAAAACAACTAACAAAAACACTAACCACACAAAGTACAGATCTAAGAGTGCTCCACAGTGCCTGAAAGCTAGTTTGAAGCCAATGATAACTATGATCTTGTGCAATGCCAAACTTTAAGTATCGACAGAATGTAGAACCATGAATGTAGATTAATGCATAGCAGCTATATTTAGTTGGGTTTTAATTAATTAAAAACAATATCAATATTTATACCGATAAAATCAATATTCAAAGATCTAATTACTGTGATAAATTTGTAACCTTTTAGAATAACTTTATTTAAAGTATTGATAAGTATTTGGTTTTATGTAAATTTACAGGCTTGATAAAGATTATGTTCACCAAGACTAAAAAGTAATTCAGTATATCTCCAACCTTTTTTTAGTGTAAAGACATCATAAGCAGTCTAAGAAAAGCATGATCCATTGTCATTGTTATTCATATTTTGTAGACATGAAAATTCTGGACCTGTGAAAAGAGTTATCCAACCAAAGTTTGTTAAACATAAGGGTACAGATTCAACAGAGACAAACCAGACTGACACAGTAACCGCTTCAGTAGCAGCAAGTGTGGCAATGGCTGCTACAGCACCTTTTCTTAAAGTAACTATATATATCTTTTTTCAAACTGAGAACATATTTTTGCCTTTTTTATTTGCCCAAATGCAACTTATACTTGTTCAAAATTAGAAATGCATATCAAATTGAATCCTCAAATCTTTCAATTGAAAACTGTGTTAGTGAATAGAAATAAATGCGTTGTTATTACCGGTACTCAGAATTTCTCTTTTCCAGAATGGTGTTATTTATTTTTCTCAAAATACAAAATAATCGTTATTAGGATTTACCAAAAATATTAGTCATTTATTGGTCATTAATGATTGATTGATTTATGGCTGCAAAGTTGCATAGGGTATTATATTTTTGACCCTTCAGTCGTCTGTCCGTCAGTCCTGTTCTTGTCATCGCAACTCCTCTGAAACCACACAACAGAATTTCATGAAACTTTGTAGATAATAAAGACATACTATGGAGATGTGCATATCGACAGGAAATTATGATTGAGTTTTTTTTACTATGAGTAAATGCTCCTTTTAACTTAGACTTTAAATATACCTTGTGTGCAACAGTTTGTCATCACAAATCCTCTGAAACCACACAACAGAAGTTCATGAAACTTTATAGATGATTAGAACATACTATGTAGATGTGCATATCGACAGGAAATTATGATTCAATTTTTTTATACGCCCGTCAAAATTTTGACGGGACGTATTATGGTATACAAATGTCGTCTGTCTGTCTGTCCAGCGTAAACATGTCGCACCGTAACTTGAGAACGACTTATTCAAATTTCTTGAAACTTGACATAGTTGTTTCTTATGATGGTCAAACGATCTGTATACTTTTTGGTGAAAATAAGATTAAAACTTTTTGAGTTACGGGACTTAGTAACTAAAACAGGTGTGTGTTTTTTTTCACATGTCGCGCCGTGTCTCAAAAACAATTTATGATTATTGCTTAAAACTTTACACACATCTTAGTTATATTAATCTTAAGATCTGTATACTTTTTGGTGATGATTCAAAATTTTTATTTTTGAGTTATTGAGTATTTTGTAAAAAAAGGGGGAGGGGTTTTTCACATGTCGCGCCATATCTCAAAAACGATTTATGATTATTGTTTAAAATTTTACACACTTCTTAGTTATATTAATCTTAAGATCTGTTTACTTTTTGGTTTTGATTCAAAATTTTATTTTAGAGATATTTTTTTTTTTTTTTTAAAAAGGGGGTTTTCACATGTCGCGCTGTATCTCAAAAACGATTTATGATTATCGCTGAAAATTTTACACACTTCTTAGTTATATTAATCTAAATATCTGTATACTTTTTGGTTTTGATTCAAAATTTTGTTTTAGAGATATTGAGTTTTTTTGTAAAAAAAAGGGGGGTTTTCGCATGTTGTGCCGTATGTCAGAAACTATTTATGATTATTGCATAAAAATTAACACACAAGTCGACGGGCGTATCATGCGCTTATGGCGCAGCTGTTTATTTCTATGAGTTATACCCCTTTGAACTTAGAATTATAAATATACTACTGCAACAGTTTGTCATCACAACTCCTCTGAAACCACACAGCAGAATTTCATGAAACTTTGTAGATAATAAGGACATACCATGTACATGTGCATATCAACAGGAAATTATAATTCAATTTTTTTTCTAGGAGGATGTAGGGTTTGAGCGTGCTCACAAAGGTTCTTTGATTTAAAAATTTTTCTGCATTTTACTGATAAATAGACTAAGTACTTGGTAGTCAACATTATATAAATAACACATAGCTGAGAGGGTGATAGAGCAGATTGTTATCCCGAGAAAACATTGTCAACTGAGGCGAAGCCAAGGTTGACAATGTCTTTTCGAGGGGTAACAATCTGCTCTATCACCCTCTCAGATATGTGTTATTTAATTTATTATACTGAATGTCATTACTGTCGATTAAATTTCAAATTCAAAGTAATAAACTATGACGTCTTGTACATAACCATTCGTATTTAATAAAGCGCACACTTGATCAAGAGTCTCCGTGAAGGGTAATAGAGTATTTGCCATAGGATAGAGTCGTATTTAATAAAGCACACACTTGATCAAGCGTCTCCGTGAAGGGTAATAGAGTATTTGCCATAGGATAGAGTCGTATTTAATAAAGCGCACACTTGATCAAGCGTCTCCATGAAGGGTAATAGAGTAAATTAACACCCTCGTATTAGCCAATCAAAATATGGCATTTTAACGTGAAGTATAATAATATATAAATAGCACATAGCTTAGAGGGTAATAGAGCAGATTGTTTCCCCGAGAAAACATTGTCAACTGAGGCGAAGCCGAGGTTGACAATGCATTTTCGAGGGGTACCAATCTGCTCTATCACCCTCTCAGCTATTTTATTTTGATAGTCTATGAAAAAGTTCTTCTGAGGTCAAAATGTAGACCTTGAGTATTGTCTTTAATTTATTCATTGTCCTTTAAATTATCGATTTTTGATTGGTCTGCACGAGAGGCCAATCAAAATCTGGCATTTTGACATGAAGTATAATAATACAGTTTAACATCTGACATCAGAAATAGTAGGCAAAACATGATTCCACAGAACCCTTTCCCAAAATTTTAGATTTACATGCCCTATTTTTACACCCAACTGTATATATAAAGTAACATAAAACAAAAGTTGAATACAAATTTTTATGCCCTGCTTATGATAGTGGGGAAGCATTATGTTTTGTGATCTGTGTGTCCGAATGTCCATTAGTCTATCCATTCATCCCTTTGTCTGTCTGTCCAGAATCAAGTTAAGTTTTGGTTTAAGGTAGTTTAACTTGAAGTTTGGTCAAATTGAATTGAAACTTAGTACACATGTTCATTATGATGTGAACTTTTAAAAATATATATGCCAAATTAGGGTGGATCCAGATTTCCCATTTTCATTGAACTTTGAAATGTGATAGTGTGAGTTGGGCACATTGTCAACTGGCCGCATATTCCTGTTTTTATATTTAAATGTAATTTACATACTATAGTTATATGCCCAATTTAAATTAAAATTCTAAAGATTGACCATTAACACACTTCTTACCTTAAAACAAAAGATTTACAGTTGTTGAAAGACACTGTTTTGATATTTATATTGCCATGCATGTAAGCTGAAAAGAATTGTATTCATTAATATATTTTATTGGTATACTATACAGGCACAACAAGAACTTGAAAATAGAATGAAAGATATGTTATCAAAAATTGCTGAAATACAGAATAGTAGGAAAGTAAATACAAGTGTAGAAGATGACAGAGTGAAAGAACTTGAGAGGCAAGTGACATCACTCACTGAACAAAGAATTCAACATTTAGAAAAATTACAAGAACATCAAGCTGAATTACAGGTATTTTTTGCAATTGTCTACTGGGTCCGTACTGAAATTAAACAAATTTGACATGATTTTTTTTTTTTCGCTTTTTATTGCTGAAGTGTGATATAATCATGCTGTTGCCTACATTGACAATTGAGGAATCGAGAATTGTTTAAGTTTTATGATTAGGTTAATTTGATTGAACCACTAATGGTAAATCAATGATATCTTGTATGAACTTGTATTGACATTGGCACATCCTATTTCAATGGAGATAATTTGTGGAATCCCCTCAATCATAATCCTTTTAACTTGGAAACTTTTTCATGGTTTACATGTTTAAAAAAGTTTGGGATTAGGTCAGTTTATCATATTAACACTTTCGCTCCTGAATTAATTTTTTTTCGCGGGATTTGGTGGCCGAAGTTTATTTCCTCGAGCTAATTCCCCGACCGGGTTTCATTTTGCAAGGTTCCACAGAAAAAAATTGTGATTACGGAAATCGTCGAATTTCAGCAAACGACAGTAAATTGGTCGTTCATAAGCCACGTGGTGAAAGAAAAGTTTGTTCTCCAAGGGGGGTAAATGCCATTTTGTTGATTGACTGCGATTTAAAGCAAAATTATTCTACTTTCCCGTTGAAAATTTGCGTACGGAATTTTTTCAACCTCGGTACTGTTTAAATGCGCTTAAATTACGTTTGAACCAATTTTACTTCAAACAAGTGTCATGCAAACGAATAACAGTCATACTACTCAAGTTCCTTATCCGTAAAAAGTATTCCAATCGATGTCTTCCAGACAAAAAAATGCTTAATAAAGTGTCTGTCGTTTACGAGAAAATTGCGACCGCCATATTGTTTACATGGTTAAAGAAGAGAGACAACTCCAACAAAATCAGGAACATTAATCCTACTATAAACAAGAGTTTGAATTTGGAAACTAACAAAATCCGTCAAAATTGCAAGCAAAATTAAAACCAAAATATTTTATCGAGACAAACAATAAAATGTTGCAGTATTTTATCATTTTCATCCCCATTTGGTTCAGCAAATTAATTTACTTCACACAAACCATTTGTTATACTTCAGTAAATTCCTATATGTACTGTACATGCTGTATGAGATAATTATACAGATCTATGATTTTTTTTCACTTGATGAAAATTTATTGTATAAACGTGGATGCATTAAAAGACTGGATCACATTCATAATTAATAGTTCAAGATCAAGATCAAGATGAGAAAAAGTTTTAATGTTGAATTTTTTTTTTTAATAGTTTATAAAATTTTTGGCATCTTTTTAAATTCATATTTTTTTCATGTTCATACTTCAAAGTTTCTGTCTAGAATTTTTTTTTAACTAAAACTATTCTGCCAGTTCATATGATTTTTTACAAAAATATATGTTTAAAATGTAACATATATAACTTACAAAAATTTACAGATAAATCCTCTAGCTTGAATGTCAACACTGGCCTGCCTGCATGAATTGATATCGGGTATAAGGATTGTTTATATGTGGTAAATGTTCAGTTTTTTTTTAAAACAACTAGTCAACAATTAAAACTTTAACAGACGTCTAAACAGCTTAAAAGTAACAGTCAACATTAACAAAACAGTTCTATCCACTTCCTTGATCAGTTGTAACAATTCCTTACAGTGTGGAATTTGGTAAAGCATTCAGGCAGGCACAGATGTTTTCCACAATCATTACAGCCAAATTTGGTTTGTTTAACCGTCTCCTGATTTCCATTTTTTGTCCTCATGTAGCATAAATGGCATTTTGACTTCTTGTTGAAACTAGATGGCATATGTCTCTGAACAAGTCTGTTTTCAAGTGGAACTTGTGATGGTCTTCCCCTGCGGATGTCAGATGAATAGCCTGCGACTAATCCTTTTGCAATATTTAAAGAAAAGTCAAGGAATGTCATTGAAGATGGATGGTTTTTGCTCATGATAAACAGTTTAAAAGCATTAAATTTTGCCATTTCCAGTAGTACAAAGAAAACCCTCTTACTCCATTTGATTTTTTTGTGATTGTAGCAGTAATATTGGATATACTGGTCGGCACGGTCCACACCTCCCATATTACTAGTATAATCTGCAACCATTTTTGGACAAACAAAGTTTTGCCTAGAGAAATTGCCATCTGTATTGACTAGTCTCTGCACTTCAGATGTACTGTTGTCATGAATAGTTGACAAGACATTTACAATTTTTTTATCTTTCCAAGCTGAAGCTACAAGACATCCTTTTTGGCGGAACTTCATATCCCCACATTGATTTATGCCTTCTGGTCGTTTACAAATTATATCAACGGGTAGTCCCCTACGGTTTATTCGGACTGTTCCACACGCTGCTGTACCATAATTTTCAAATAAATCTACAAAAAGCTCTGGACTTGAAAAATAATTATCAGTATACACATGGTACCCTTTACCCTCTAGTTGTGCTCCCTGTAGACACCTTTTGACAACATTACTGGCGAGGTGTAATTGAGGAGTTGCACGTCTCCCTGGATATATGTCTACGAACTGTATGTAGCTACTTTGAGACTCAGCTAGCATCCACACCTTCACTCCCCATTTATGTGGCTTTGCTGGCATGTATTGTCGAAACTGAACTCTACCTTTAAACGGAATCATACTCTCGTCTATAGTGACATTTCTTTTAGGGTTATACTCCTGGTTGAAGCAGGCATTGAAGTGATTTACCAATGGTTTGACTTTAAACAAGGGGTCATAATTTTCAGCACCTGGTAATGGTTCTAACTCTGAGTTTGAAAAGTGGAGGTATCTCATTATCTGTGTGAACCTGTCACGACTCATGGTTTGCGGAAATACAGGTGTATGCAAAAAATGATCAGTTGACCAGTACATTTTAGTAGATGGTTTCCTATCAACACCCATTTGGAAACAGAGTCCAAGAAAAGCGTTCATCTCAGCAACTGAAGGTCTTACCCAGGCCATTTTGTTCTGATTTGGGTGTTGCTCTTTCTGTTTAAGGGCATAGCGGTCAGTTTCATCTATCAAATTTTCAATTAGCATGTCAGTCAGGAAAAGTTTAAGGAAATCTATAGGATCCTTGTCTTGTGGCATGATCCTAGTTGGCCCTGAGATTCCAGATGGTGTGAAAAGGTGAGGCATTCCTCGTTCATGATATATAAAGTTTTCATGCCAACCATTATGATTATGAAAGACATAACCAGCATCACCAGCAGGTCCAGGGATATCATCATTGATATCAATGTCTGAATCACCGGATTCTATGTAGCCGTCACTGTCATCACCTAAACCCTGCTGAAGTAACTGATGCTGGTATCTAGCTTCAGCTTCATCTATTTCACCTTGAGAAAACCCTTCAAATTCGTCAGATTCATCAGACGACATTTTGTTAACCTTTTTTGACTGAACAAGTGACCCAACGGTGATACGAGACTTACCTTTCATCACTTCTTTTACTTAAATTAACAGATTAAAATAGCAGAAAACACCACTACAGTGTCAGGTTACATGTCTTACTTAGTTGATAATTTTATTTTTACAAGTAAGTAAACGAAATATAAGCGAAAACAAACTTTTTACCGGATTGCATAAATTGTGTAATATTTTTCCGCCATGATTGTTGACATATTTTCCATAACGATGTCTATTTCCGGTTCAATTTAAGGTCGTTAGAATTTTTGTATTTTTAGCACACAAAAAAAGAAATTAAGGATTACATTAATATGCCAAAATTCTCGAGATTTTTATGAATTCGTTGATATGTAAAATGATCGACAAGAACTATTTTTAATTAGCTTTATTTGTGTTTGCAAATGTGATGTCACCGAGATAAATTTTACTATTGTACAAGCACCTGCTCGACATTTTAAGCATTTAAAAATAAACTACGATCCTGAAGTTAAAGCAAAAATAACCTGAAGTTTGTAATTTTATATTATAAATTTAATTTGATTCGTTGTTGCTTTGAATACTTACACTATTTTCATGAAAAAAAACAATTCAACGAGGAGTTTTTCGTTTCGCCATTTTGCAAATGGAGTCGATATTTTTTCATGTTTTATTTTCAGTTTTCGCATTTGATGAACAATATATCCTTTCAACCATTGTAAAACTAAAATTATGTTATATTATTTTAACTTCATTTACACCATGAACCGAAACCTATGGTTAGAATTTAGTATTTTTACTTTTGAAGTTGTCGTTCTAAAAATAGAATTTTAGGTATCCTTAAGGATAATTTCGCCCGCAGCTCCGTGGTGCCAAAAGGATAATTTCGGCTCGCGCTCCAGGGTGCCAAAAGGATCATTTCGGTACGAAAGGGTTAAGCAATTAGAAGCTATTTCATATGATGAACATAAAATATGGCTTTTTCATAGGTGGTAAAATAGTAATGAATCTCAAAAAAAATTGTGTTTTCATTTTTTTAAAGGAGTTATTTCCCCTTAAAGTTGGTTTTCCTTACAATTCATTTTTTTCTGATAATTTAAAACATAAACCAACTTATTTTACATTTTAAATGCTAGAGATGATCATTTTAATAAAAATGAGGAAGGCTTCGATTGTTTTGTTTTTAAGACTACAATAAATTGAAGAAAAAAAATAATTACTTAGTAGACTATACTTTCAATTCATATCCAAAGTACGATGTCCAGTTATACTAAACTGCTGTTTAAGATGTAAACAAATAATTTAGATCTAGTAAAAGAGATTTATATTGAGACAAATACAATATATCTGCTATATCTGCTGATTTACAGGTAGAGCAAAACATTGCAATGTAGCAGGATACCCTCAACTTACTTACCGGTACAATGATTTAACATGTTATAGACATCTTTATATATGAATTAATGATAAATAACAATTGAAAAAAGGCAAGAGAGTGAATTTTTTTTTATAAGGCTTTGCAATAAGCAAGTTGAGTTTGGGTTAAGAAAAAGGATAGAGAAAATCTCTTGTCAAAAAGAAGTGCCCTTTTTCTAAAACTGTTTCTCTCTGTCCTGAGTTTCCAGCTCGAACAATGAAGTTTATTATTGTCTTTTATTATACTAGCTTTCCTTTCATCGTACAGATATTTTATGTCATTCATATTATACAAAAAGTCATACTATGTTGCTTTTTAAATTTCATCATTTACATTGTACTATTGAAATTACAAACAGACATATCTCTATGTCAACAGTTAATACTAGATATATTAGTGGTAATTAGGTCTTTCCACTTCTCCGTGGAAAGAAGCATTGATTCTTGAAAAAGAAACCATTAGTCTGGAGGTTTCTTTGTAAGAGTTATCTCCCTGAACACTGTTTTTCTTGTTATGCCATCGCAACCGTAAAATAAACCGACAAATTTATTTTACCAAATTGCTTGTTATATCTTCAGGATTAGGAGAATAATTTTGATCCTGAGACTCCATATGAGAGTTATTTCCACTTATGCATTTAACATAAGGGATATGCATTTGTAACTGGTGAACCATAGGTGATAGAGACCTAGAGTCTTTTGATTTGAGGTCCTTGGTCCAAAAAAAAGAAAATAAGGTTAAGGTCATATTCTAAATTTTTTATTTTGGCTTATCACTTCTTTTTAAGAACCATAAAAGATATTGACAAAATATTTTTACTTAATTGTTAGTTGCAACATGTCGTTACCAGGGCTTCCAAAATTATTTTTAGCCAGCCGGACATTTTATATATTATCCCGATTTTAATCCCTTAAGACTAAATAAACAAAAGGCAATTATGGTAATCAGTTGCCGAGTTGGCCATCCCAATGATTGATATTTAAAAAAAAAACGATATTAAACTTTCTTTGATTCAAATTCGAAGTTCTGACGTAAACTGTTAAATTGGCAATGCATCATCCGAAGTGTGCAACATCAGCGTACTTATATCTGCCTTAGACTCTTTATTTGTGCAAAATAACGTTGTCAAAAACTGTACTTTCGTTTTGAAATCTGAAACCGGATGTTATCTTGACAATGGTAAAACATGGACCAGAGACCGATACGTTAATTCCGTGTATGTATGAGTGTAAGTAGCTCATTCTACGTTATTTCTTCAAGAAAATAACCGAAATAAACGTGAGATAAAGGTATCAATGACAATTTAAGCATTTTTTGAAGAAATTAGGATGCATAATTAAATTTCACACCTGCGCACATGCACATGCGCACACTTGTACTAGTTCAAACAGAGACATGTCTCTGGTTCAAACAACGTGGTTATGACGATTTTTCATTTTCACCTCTTTAATTTTTTCATCAAATCTTATTTGTAAATGTATTTCTGATAATTTAAATCTTTTTGACTAAATTAATTAGATGTAAACCTGTGAAATGTAAGAAAATAACTTTGAATAGACCGATCAATGTCCGGTTCAAAATAGTTTACCTGTCACCTGAACAGGTAAATTTCAGCTGTTCGACAACTAATTAGCCTTGATTAAAATGAGAAGGTATTAAAGTAGGGGTTGTTTTGATAGTACTTAATCATCATGTCACTTTAATGACCGGAAATGTGTGGCTGTTAAAGGCAAAATGTTAGGTCAAAAAGATCGCAAATTATGTTAAAATGACCATCTCTAAAGAAAGCCTTGAAATCTAAAAAGTGGATGTTCGTTTCGTGCTTTGCACAGCCGGACTTTTACCGGACATTATACAAATGTCCGGAATATATGACCGTTTTGGAAGCCTTGGTCGTTACACATAAATTTTGGTTGAAAGGGTACGTTGACATTAAATGGGAGTTTTCTTCCTCTTATATTTAAAATTGCGCATATGGTGATATAACTCATTAACCATATATAATAAAGACCTAGGGTCTTTTGATTTGAGGTCAAGGTCATAGGTAAATTTGACATTCTAGATTTTGACCTTTGCTTTAACTTCATATGTATACATGATAAAGCCATTGAACTTTTTGCATTAGGTTGCAAGCCATATGACCTTGAAAAAGCCAACCGGAAATGACCTTGTGTAAACTGGAAGTAGCTATTTTTTGTACTTATTTAATGTAAAAGTATATAGAATCATATATTTTTGGAATCAGTGTCAAGTTAATTATCAAATAATACCGGAAGTGACATTTTTCAAACTGGAAGTAACAAATTATCTCCCTTATTTCAAACAAAAGTTTATAGAAACCATATATTTTTGGAATCAGCATACAATAAGCTATCATTTGATACTGGAAATGACACTCTTAACTAGATTTTAATATTTTCATATCAAAATAAATCGTTTCATGTGGAAAGACCTTCAATTGTTCCCTGAACAATTGGTTTTTAATTTGTTTTATTTATTTTGCAGTCAAACCTGCCTTAACAGTCACCTCAATTCAGCGGTGAACTGCCTCTAATGGTCACTTTCAGAATTAGTAATTTTTTATAAATTTGGAATTATAAAGGAAATAAATATACCACTTTATATTAAAAATTTGGGCCATTCGATTTCACTTGTTTCATTTATGTGCAACTCACATGTGAAAAGTTGATGTCAGGTGATTAAAAGGGGTGTATTATTAGTGAGCAGTAGCTCATAGTTGGAACGGGGACCAAATTATTTCCCCCATTACTTCAATGCAATTTTATCCAATTTGAGGGGCAGATTTTTTATTCCATGTATTAGACTGCAAAATTTCAATTACTTTCTCGAACTAGTAGCCCCCTTCATGGTTTCTGGGAGAATTCTTAAAAGGTCATGACCGGCATTTAAGGGAGCAATTCTGTTTTGAGTATTAATAGGGTCATTTTATTAACTTCTGGTTAAAATTGAATAGAGAATTTAAACCATTTACTCAGACAATCATTTAAAAGTTAGCAGAAGTTGAAAGTTTAATGAATACCCTTTAGGTATACAGTCTCACCTCGTTGTGTCGAAAACTCGGATGAGTCGAAGTAATTTCTCGGTCCCGGTAAAATTCCCATTTGATCAATGCATAATTACCTCTGATGAGTTGAACTCGGTCGATTTGAATACTCAGTTAAGTTGACCACATTTTATAGTCCCGTCGATGTAAAATGAATGTAAATTGACCCCAATGTCTCGAAGTTCAAAAGTAAGAATTTTCGAAAGATGCAGACCTAATGATACAAATTCGGATCGGATTGTTTCTTATGTAACCTAATCATTTTCAAAAGAGATTAAAGCTGAGTAAACAAATTTGTTTGTATAACAGTTAAAATGACATGATTATGGTGACCGATAAACAACAAACACCTTTGTTGATCGTCCAAGCGGAAAGTTAGTGTGTTGAACGTATTTCACCTGACATAAAAACGAAACGAATTTAAATGACCCAAGCTGAGATTAAATGAATAGTTAGAATTAAAATTCATTAATTACAATGAATAAAAGGATTAAGACAATTATGATAAATTTATAATGATTTAATGTAAAGCAGACGACCTCATCAGAGACCGTTCAGAACTTGTTTCGTTCCGCGAGTGATTTCATAATTTATAGTGACTGACCTTTGTAAATATTTGTGTATACTATTGATTTTATCTGTGAATGATTTATATCAGTACTTGTGTGTTTAATTATGATGAAGGACAAAAAATATAAGATATGGAGATTAAATACACAAACATAAAGTGTCATATCGAAAAAAGGCACACTGTTCAAAGTATCTAGTTTACACAAATCTCATACAGTATTTCATGCATTCCAAATTTTTGATCCGGTCCCTTTGACATAACGAGGTTCAACTGTACTACAAATTTAAGCATCTGTACATTATTATCATCTCGGTACAATATCCCATTTAAAAGATGGTAGATTTATTAAGGGACTGCATTCGTGGGTACTGGACTGATATCCTGTAACTGGGATCCTATTCCAGTTCAGATTGTTTTATTTTATTTTATTCCAAGTTGACAGTATTTCATCAACCACATTGAGACTTAACATCCACAATAAAGAAAGAACTTTTTTATTATATGAAGATCGATGACTCTCAAATAAAACTTGAATCTGTAGGCTGACATAAAATATATATGCTTGTGGTGGTTTTAGAGTGAATGAATATAAAACTGAAGCCATATGGGTTGGCAAGATTAGGCAGTAATGAAAATTTTTTACCAAATAAGAAATTATCATGGACTACATCAGGAACTTTTAAACATTTAGGGATTCATTTCATTCTCTTAAATGAGGATAAAATGGTAGAAAACTATACAGAAGCCTTCTCAAATTATGGGCATACATGAACTTGACATATATAGGCAAAACCATTGTTATCAAAAACTTTTGTTACCCACTTTTGGTACAGGTTCGGTCAGTACTTCCAAACCACCAGTTCAGGTTATGCAAGAAATACAAGATATTTTCATCAAATTTTTATGGGATGGAAAGCCAGATTAAATAAAAAAGAAGGTTATTATAAATAATTATGATATTGGAGGTTTAAAATTCCCCCATATAGAATGTTTTAGCATGTTACTTTAAATGGCATGGCTATATAAATTACTAGATCCCTTGAATCTTTCCCCCTTGAAGATTTTATTATTTATAGAATAACTAATCGAAGAATTCAAATATAAAAACATTGTTCAACGAGTGACAGAACAACACATTAATTCACAAATGCGTGTAGCACATTAGTTAATTATCAGTGTTCTCATTTGATGCAACGTCATCGACCATGTCTTGACAAACCTCTTGTTGTATGACTTCAGAGGAGTGAAATTATCGGTTTTTATTTCACTGGGAAATTACGGTAAGTCATTGCAACCAAAGTAATAATAAATTAAATAGAAAAATATGGGATGATAAAATAACGTCGTCGTCTGTCGTCGTTAGCTTTTACAAAAATCTTCTCCGTTGAAACCACTGGGCCAAATTTTACCAAACTTGGCCACAATCATCATTAGGGTATCTTGTTTAAAAAATGTGTATGATGACCCCGCTAACCAACCAAGATGTCCGCCATGGCTAAAAATAGAACATAGGGGTAAAATAGATTTGGGCTTATATCTCTGAAACCAAAGCATTTAGAGTAAATCTGACATGATGTAAAACTGATTATCAGGTCAAGATCTATCTGCCCTGAAATTTTCAGACAAATCTGACAACCTGTTGTTGAGTTGCTGCCCCTGAATTGGTAATTTTAAGGAAATTTTGCAGTTTTTGGTTATTATCTTGAATATTATTATAGATAGAGATAAACTGTAAACAGCAATAATGTTCAGCAAAGTAAGATCTACAAATAAGTGGTCATGACCAAAATTGTCAGTCGACCACTTTAGGAGTTATTGCCCTTTAGAGTCAATTTTTAACAATTTTTCGTAAATTTTTGTAATCTTTTACAAAAATCTTCTTCTCTGAAACTACTGAGACAAATTTAACCATACTTGGCCATAATCATTATAAGGGTATTTAGTTTAAAAAATTTGTCCGATGACCCCACCTTCCAACCATCATGGCCGACATGGTTAAAAATAGAACATAGGGGTAAAATGCAGTTTTGGGTTTATATCTCTGAAACTAAAGCATTTAGAGCAAATCTGACATGTGGCAAAAATGTTCATCAGATTTAGATTTATCTGCCCTGAAATTTTCAGACGAATCCGACAACCCGTTGTTGGGTTGCTGCCCCTGAGTTAGTAATTTTACAGAATTTTTGCAGTTTTTTGTTATTATCTTAGATATCATTATCATATCTAATATCTAATACTATTAATTATGTTTTTAACCTTATTTTACATGATTTCCAAAGCATCAGTAAATACAGGTGAGCGACACAGGCTCTTGAGAGCCTCTTGTTTTTTATTTTTCCTATACCCCTATTTAATTATCATGATTTTACGTAATGGAAAGAAAATTATTAACAACACAACTTCTAGGATATCCACGTGCTTAAACAAACGTATTTGTAATGCCTCTACAGCCAGATTGTTTAACAAAAATGGACGTGGATATCCACAAATTTTCCCGTGCAATGCCAAAAAGTGACTAACCTGTTTTAGATTAACTTCACGAAATACTGTAAGGTCAACAGTGAACGGGAGAGCTTTTTTCGCTCTCCTTTTCCTGTGACATCACCTGAAAAACTCAAAACCTTGTATATGTGGTAACTTGAACCCAACATAAGTGTGGTATTCAATATGTGGGACAGACGGGACGAGAGTATTACAAAAGAAATCAAGAACACCTTTACCGCTTTCGTAGACCTAAAAAAGTGTGATCAAATTTCTTTTTTTAGCCCAATGTATGAATTCACCGGAATTATTACAGCCTTTTGTCATCATAGGATATTACCTATAGCTAGTATCGATAAACCTGAAAATCATAAACGGCATTTTCTTAAATTAAAATATATAAATAAAGGTATTGATTTTATTGTTGAGCCTTCGACTTTAGTCGAAAAAGCGAGACATAGCGATCCTACATTCCGTCGGCGTCGTCGGCGGCCTCCACAAATATTCACTCTGTGGTTTAAGTTTTTGAAATTTTAATAACTTTCTTAAACTATCCTGGATTTCTACCAAACTTGGACAGAAGCTTGTTTATGATCATAAGATAGTATCCAGAAGTAAATTTTGTAAAAATAAAATTCTATTTTTTCCGTATTTTACTTATAAATGGACTTAGTTTTTCTGCCGGGAAATATTACATTCACTCTGTGGTTAAAGTTTTTAAAATTTTAATAACTTTCTTAAACTATCCTGGGTTTCTACCAAACTTGGACAGAAGCTTGTTTATGATCATAAGATAGTATCCAGAAGTAAATTTTGTAAAAAAAAAAAATCCATTTTTTCCTTATTTTACTTTTAAATGGACTTAGATTTTCTGCCAGGAAACAACACATTCACTCTGTGGTTAAAGTTTTTAAAAAATTAATAACTTTCTTATACTATTTTGGATTTGTACCAAACTTGGACAGAAGCTTGTTTATGATCAAGTGCTAGTATCTAGAAGGAAATTTTGTTTTCTTCCAGTTAACATTACATTCAGTCTGCAGTTAAAATTTTTAAACATTTATTAGATTCATAAACTATCCTGGATTTTTTACCAAACTTGGACAGAAGCTTCTTACAATCAAAAGATAATATCAAGAGGAATATTTTTATTGATTTACTTCCTCATTTTTGTTGAGCCTGCAATTAACAGAAAAAGTAGGCGAGACACTGGGTTCCGCGGAGCCCTTACAAATTTTTAACTTATCTAGTATATTCAATGACTCTACCATCCAAAGCCAAATACCTCGAAATTTTGATAATATAGAACCACCTATTATTTCGTATTCTTATAAAAAAAAACAGCAGAAGTTTAATTTTTAACCAGATTTTCGAAGGTTATTAAATTGGGGATGTAGGGCGGGCGGGCGGACAGGCGGCCATCACCATCGATTTTAAATTGAGAGTATCAATTCTCTGCATGCGGCCCACAATCGTTTTTAAATTGAGAGTATCAATTCTCTGCATGCAGCCATTTTGTCATCTGTCCGGTTTACGAAACCACTTGATATCTATAAACCACAAAGGACCAAAACCAGCAGTAACCTAACGTAGTCGTAATTGAGTGTCGATATCTTGTCAAGAGTACGGTTGTTTTATTCGACAAGGAAAGCATAAACAGTTAACCGGGTCACAAAAATAATTGTAATAGACATGGTTGTGCAACCTTTTCTAACTAACTTAATACGGAAAATGTAATTATTTTTTTTAAATAACTATGGTCTGTCGTTTTTGAAACAAGAAATTTAAATGGGAATTAGTTAAAAAGTCAAAGTTAAATTCAAAAATAAGTATTCCATGTAAGATTGTTTTCGAAAATCTAATTTGTTGATAATTCTTTTAGTTTTATGTAATAAACTTATTTAAATCACCAGCATGGCTAAAGGAATTAAACCCGGAGGTATTGTGAGGTGACACGTCCAGGTATTCAAGCCATTTCCTGTCGGGCTAAAAAATTCTTATTACACAATTACATAATGCAAGTTCATGCATCGCTTCACTTCTGAGGGTATTGATCAGTGCATGGACACGGCCGATCACTTGTAACTTTCCATTTAAACTATCAGGTGTAATATACATCTTTGTCTTGCGTGTCCAATAATGATATACTATAGTCATTACTAAACTCATACGCTTGTTTACAAATAACATTTCTGGTGTAAAGAATGATATTTATGAAAATCTAAATAATCCAAAAAAAAGATTTGATAAAATAAAAATCTATTTACATATTTTCCAAGGGTAAATTGGGGAAAATGTAAGTATATACTCGTTGTCAATAATTATGGACATTTTGAAACATACAAATATTGATTTATACGCCTAGATAGAAAGTTAC